GTAAAATTATATTTGTGTAATGAAATCAGTAATCATCTACTATAACGAATAATTCGTTAATGCTATAACGAATTATTTATTATACATACCGCATAATTCATTATAGCATTAACGAAGATTCTTATAATGAAGTCCTGATCGGCTAGATCAGTAACTTCGTTATATCAAAGAGTGACTGTATTAAGTTTAATTGGTTAAAAGTCACGTGATTAATTACGAAATGACTTATAAATTTCAGATTATTTTTGGGTATAGATTAAATATATCATATGTATCATGGTGAATTATCTGTCAAAAAAAATCTAATACACTTTCATTATAGAAGTTAGGAAAAATTTGGGTAATTGTAATAACTAATGCTTTCAAGATAGAAATAAATGAACCAGATGTTCAAGTAGTTATTCATGTAGAATTTCCAATATCTATGAGCAAGTAAATAACAAATTTGTATATTTGTTAGACAATTTGATACAATTTGATCTTATCTTTTTGTTATAAGAAATCTAATATAAGAGAGTGGTCGTATAGGTCATGATGGTCTATTAGCTAAAGCAATTATTATATTCAATCGAAAACAATTATAGGAGTTTATTCAGATAGAAAAGATAGGTAAAATACAGCATTTTAATAATTTATTTATAAAAACTAATGAATTATTACTTGTAGTAATTCAGTATTAAGTGAAGAAGAACCTGAAGCTTTGAATTATATCAATTTATCTGATGTAAAAAATAAATAAGAGAAATACTATTTTATTATTTAACCATATATCAATATCGCAAACAAGTAATTATCAATTATTTTGCATGATCAGGAGATTTCTTACTTTAAGAATATACAATTTGTGATAATTATATTCAATACGTAACTGATAATTCAGTTTATGTAGATATTCAATCAGATATGCTAAAAATGTTAAAAATTATAAACGTAATTACTAAAATAGAGGAATAATGGTAAATAACTAAAAATAATATTATAGATATATTTAAATAATCACAGGCGAAAGATGTAAAAAAATCATTTTAATTATTTAGCAATATATTAAGAAAAATTTACAAGGAAATTAAAAAACTAAAGATGATGCATTTTTATTGTTAGATGATTTGATTTTGCATAAAATAGTTAAAGAAGATATTATATTGAACAGATCTTTGATAGGTCAACCTTATTCTTGTAGTATATTCATTTTGGATTTTATTGAAGATGCGTTAATAAAAACTAATATAGAAGATTGAAAATATCTAATAAAACTATTAAATAAATAATATACAGTATTATAATTAATTAATTGTATTAATTATATCATATGACTGATCTACGTGTGATCAACAAAAAATTTTTGCCTTATAATCATCATATATATCATATGGAAGTAAACCCTACCCTTAGAAGACTTTTCACCAAATTTTCTTATTAAAATTTATTGATTTAACGAATTTTTCACCAAATTTTCTTATTAGCATTATTGATTTAACAGACTTTTCGTCAAATTTTCTCATATTCTCATATGATAAATACAAGAAATAAAATTTCAAAGCTTTTTATACACTCTTATTTTATCATATTATACTACTAGATATTAATTCTATTTTTGATATAAATAAAAAAGCTGAGGAAGCTGATAAGAAAATTAATATGAATATAAGTGACAATAAAATTAATCTTATTCTTAATGCTATAGATAATATTAGTATATATAAGAAATCCTTATAGTTTTAAAAATATTATTTTTTTATAAAATTTAAAAATAATTAAAAAAAATATTTTAATATTTTTGGATTTATTAAATATTTTTATTTGAATTATTAATATATTATTTAATTATAATTAAATTTTATATTAAGAAAAAAATTAATATAAAAAAAATTATAAATTTTATTTATATAAAATAATTAAATCTATCTTAATGCATTTTCTTTAAATATATATACTATATATTTTTTCTTCAAATACATATTTTTGTTTAATTTTAAATATATAGAAATTATATAGTAAATTTTTTCTCTAAATATACATTTACTTTTTATTATAATCTTAAAGATATGTATTTAAAAAGATTTAATAATATTATAAAGAAATTTTTAAGGTATTAAATAAATATGATAATCTTTAATATGCAAGTATTTAAAAAATACTTTAATATTGTACAACAGCTTGAACTTATCAAATTTCTATAAACTAATTTCTTTAATATTTGTGAAAATTAATATATTTAGCATTCAATTAGCATATTAGTATATTTATTAACAGTTTAATCATTTTAATGTATATATTAAATAAATAATTAATAAAATAATTTTATATAAGATAAACTTTATATAGTCACTTTATATAATTTATTATATAATAGTAATTATATAAAGGTTTAATAATTATAATTACACCTTTGTATAATTATCACTTTTATTTGAATTAATCTAAGGGATCTAACTGTAATATAAAAAATTTGTTAAATTAATTATATGATTTTATATTATTTATTTACATTATATTTTTAAAAGCTATTAATGAATTATTATATTATGATCAAAAATAATTATATCAATATAATTATTATTAATAAAACATATAAATATATAATTATATTATATTAGTTATACAGTAATTCATAAAAGTCTATTTTATATTAAAGTATAAGTTATATAATAATTTTATTATAAAAAAGATATAAATAACTGTTATTAAAAAAATTTAATTCAAAAAATTATAAGTAAAATAATTATCTATAATAAAAAAATAGATAATATAAATTTTATAATTTCAAATAAATATATAAACTTTGCAATAAAAAGAAAGAAAACTTTAAAAACAATTTTTTTGAGTTAATGTTAAAAATCTGATCTTATTTACTAAAGTAAAAAATTTTTTTTTGATAGTTTTTTTTTTTTTATTACAAAATGTTTATATTATTTGTTTATGAAAAAATTTTAATTAAAATTAATAAATCTATACTAAATTTTTAATGCTAATATCCAATGATAGAATTCACATGAACATGCATGAACTTGCATATCACAAAAAATATGTTCGACTAACAAAGGGAAAATAAGAATTAACTCGAATCGTTTTTTTTCTAAAATGTCGAAATTTAATAATCCTTTATGTACAATTGTTGTTACAGTGATAGAGGGTTAGTTTTTTTATTTTTAAAACTTTTAAAACTTTTTAATTCTTTATTTCTTTATTTTTATTTTTATTTTTATTTTTTTTTTAAGAAATCATTAAATTTTATTTTTTCTCTCGTGGAATCAAATAAATAGGTCGATATTTCCCTCAAAATCCGAACGGAAAACTTTACATAGAATGTAGATTCACGGATGAGATTCTTTCAACAATCAGTCCAGATTCCAATTCAATATTATCAACGGATAGTGTAGAACAAGTATCTTTTCCAATATGGGATACAGAATTAGCATGGGAAGTGGATCAAAAGACCTTACATTTATTAAGAACGAAATGGGCGCACTTAAAATTACAAGGTTTTTCGGTAGATAATACGAAAGGTAATGGATATAATAGAGGAGAGTTGATAGGATATTCGATGTTAGATTTAAGGATGGCAAGTGATCGAAGTGGTAAAGAGAAATGGATATCACTTAACAATACAAAAGTGAAAGGGAAAGTTTTGCCAGAAATTAAAATCTCCTTTTGTATCTTACCAAATTTATCATCATCCGTAACTTCACCCAATTGTAATAATAGTTATACCCCAAGTCCATTAGGAAAATCATTTTCCGTTGGTGAATTCGAAGAAATGGAAGAAAATGGAGGAACGACTTCTGAAGTGGTTGATTTATATAAAATTGGAATGAATGGAACGGAAATCTTCCTTTTTTCTATCACAATTAATTTCGGAGCTAATTTACAATTATTATTACAAGATACAATATCATTTCTCACGCAACAACAATTTCCTGAACTTGACCTTTCAACATTAAATCACGGATATTATTTTCAATATACCGTATTTGAAAGTGTGATAACTTCGAACAAATTTTATGATCTTTCACATCCAAATATCAATCCTGAAACCTTTACATTTAGAATACAATCCTCATTAGAAGAATTAAAATCTTTTTTAATTAAAGAATCGAACGTTGTGATAAATTTATATCATGATAATCAAATGATTGGATTTGCGGAAATTCCACTCACGGGATTATTCGATTATAAAACCGGGGAACCACGTTCTTTAGATCGAGTATGTCCGATGTATAATTCCAAAAGAGAGTTACCTGTATCAGCCGATGTGCAAACCGCTAGAATTGGTGTTTACCTTACAATAAGTAGAGATAATTCCAATGAGAATAATGATACCACATCTCCTGATGCCGTAGAGAGAACAAAATCTTTCCCGATTGAAAATGTACAAGAAAAGGAACAACCACCACCAATTCGGGAACAAAATAATGAACATAAATATCGGGTATTAATCGATTTAGAATCAATTCAATTAAATAGGAATATTAAAAATATTTACATTAGGTATAATTATCCCGCTTTAGGTATTACTAATAATAAATCAACTCAAATAGTTTCAAATGTTGAAGTAGGTAAAGATATTTTATTAATGAATAGTACAAACTCTATTGAGGTTATGATGACACCACAGAGACTTAATAAATATTTTGAGGCCGTACCTTTGCTTATGGAAATATGGCAATCCGTAGATCAAAAGCAGTCTCAAATCGGAGTTGCCACGTTACGTTTAGAAGAAGTATTTCTATCTCAACCTGTAATAGATGATGAAACTAGAGCCGAGGTTAAAACTTTTACTACCTTGGCCCCTATTAAATCTATCGGAGTATCTGCAAATTCACGTGAAACGGGTCACATAAGTGTTTCAATAAGGCTTGATGATTTTGGTGATTCGACAAAATCACAAAGTGTCACGGAATTATCCGAACTCACTAAAGAATTTCAACCCGCTAAAGAAGAACCGGCAAAGGAAAAGGATGATGTTACAACGAAATCATTAGCAAATGATGATGGAAACGGAAATAATTCTTCCTCTAATAATAATAATGAACATATTTCAACGTTTCAATCGGATTTATTTAGAAAAGCGGCAGAACATATGAAATACACTCAAGAAGTACTTGCCGTAAAGAAGAAGAAGAATGGACCCGGTCAAAGTTTTAGCAAATTTAAAGTACAACAATTAAAATCTATAGATTTTAAATTGCAACAATATATCATTTATTTTAAAACAAGGGATGAAAGTTTATTAAGATCCGAAAAGGATTTTGAAAGAAGATGGTTAGAATTAGATAGACAATTTGATCAAAGGACAAAAGAATTAGAAAATCGAAATTCTTCTGTAATAAATGAAGATTTTGTTAAAAATTTACAAGAAGAAGTTAATGACCTTAAAATTCAATTAGATACGACAAGAAGAGAAAAGGATCATTATGAATCTCAATGGTTAAGGTCATTACAAGTTTTAGCTGGAACGCATGAAAAAGAAAGCGAGGAAGCTTTATTTTTGAAAGGTTTCAGAGAAACGGATCAATGTTGGTGGCAAGTTAAAAGAATGGCCGAAGAAGAAATGGAGTTAATTGATTATGAAAAATTTACGTTGGATATTCTTAAAGGTGAAATTGAAAGGTTAAAATCTCTATCTCAATCTTGTTAAATTTTGTAAAATATAAATTATAATAATTTTCGGTTTTGATAATTTAAAATTAACATCTTTATTTAATATCATAAAATTTTTATGATTAATGTAACAATGTTTCTCTTATCTACTTAAAATTACCATATTTGCCAAATTTTACACCGTATTGCCAGTCTCCCTCCACTTTATGAGGTCCACTAATTTCTACGCCTTGAGCGGTAATTTTTGCACGTTGATACTAATTAAAAGTTGGAATTTACATCAGTATAAAGTCTTATCAAAGAGAATGCGTATAATTTTTTTACTCACATAGTTTAGACTTCTCCCATCCCTGCAATATAAAACTTTTTCACAATCTTCGAGAACTTGAATGGCTTCCTCTTCAGTAATTGTATTCTCTCTGCCTTCAACAACCTTACGCAAAATTGGTTGAGCTATATGAGCTCCAATGCCAGTCGCGATCGTTGAAGATTGGTAAGATGTTCCAAGGTGTCCAACATATCCAAGAAACCTTAAGTTTTATTAAAATATGTATTTTATAAATCTAAAATTTCTACCATTATAATCAGCTTTGGAAGAATTTTCTTACCCTTCTCCACCATCAAAACCTCCAATAACATAAGAATTCAATAAAGGATCAAATTTGTTCCGTCTGCCATACGTCAGGCGACTTAAATATTCGTAGATATTCGGTGGTTTAAGGACATGACCGTCATTTGTATAATATTCTTCAACCCTATAAAAGTTCAATTTGAGAATCGTCTCAACATATATATATATATATATGAATTAAACTTACACCAAAGTATCTAAAAGATGTGTGGTATATTGAAAATCAGAAATGTCTCCTGAAGCACCAAGTACTGTGAAGTCACCGACGCGATAGAGCCGTTCACAATCTCTAAACCGAGCAAGTGCTCCAAATGACGCTAAAACAAAAAAAAAAATTTTGCTTAAATTTCAAAAGAAAAAAGAATTCGAGATTCTATGCAGAATTGAACAAACCTAATGTATCTGCGGCTAACATTACACCGTCTTTATACTTAATTGCAAGTACCGAAGAACCAACCACTATTGGGGTTCTAATAAATAAAGATTAATATACTACATATACTACATGACGATAACAAAAGGACATATAAGGCTTACAGAGTTTGCGTAGTTGGATCACTAAACGCATCGCTTCTTGGTTGAGGAGGATAATTAATGTTTCCTTGACTAAAGTGATCCATGGCCGAGAAATTAAAAAAACCATGAAACCTTTTTTTAGTCTACATATATTAGATCATTTAAGATCACGTTGAATAATTGCGTAATTTGTGGCACGAATCATATGATTTTGATCTCGAAAGGCATAAGAAAAAAAAAAATAGTAAGCACACATTTATTTCCTCCTCTTTTTTTTTTTTCAACGAGAAAATCAGTTAATCGAAATGGTGTGTTTTCTTTTCTCTTCTTTTTTTTATTATCATGCATTTTCCTCACGGTCATTAATTTATTTGGATGGCAAAAAAATTATATTTATCCAATGACTCGATGGATGTGTATTAGAATTTTTTTTTTTTCCTAAAAAAAATATAAAAAATTTGTGGAATATTTTCGACATTATTTCAATAGATTTTCGTGTTATATTTTATTTTTTTTCTACTTTGATCGATTTAAAAAATAGAGAATACCACTTTTTCTGAGTTTAATCTTAAGAATTTTGAATAATTTAACGAATTATCCCAATTGCGTTCGTTTAGGGTATTGACATCAAAAAACATCACGTGAGGAAGAGGAATCGAACTGCGCCGAAAAGTGAGGATGTCTACCTTCGATTGTTGGTGAAGGTATGATTTCATCGATTTTTTTTTACGTTTTGAAGGATAAATCCATGATTTGATGATTAATTTAATTTAAAAATTTAGGTATACCGATTCCTAGCCAGAAGAACAGATGCCAGTTTTAATAGAGTGATTCTGAAAAGACTTTTTATGTCACGAGTTAACAGACCTCCCATGTCGATTTCTCGTATTGTTCGTAATCTTTCTGATAAAACTGATAAAACAGCTGTAGTTGTTGGTACAGTTACAGATGATAAGAGAGTATTAGAAGTACCAAAAATCACCGTTGCAGCACTTCGGATTACAAAATCCGCTAAAGAGAGAATTTTAAAAGCTGGTGGTGAAGTTTTAACTCTAGACCAATTAGCTCTTCGCGCTCCAACTGGTTCTAATACCGTCTTACTTAGAGGTCCAAAAAGTGCTAGAGAATCTGTTAAACATTTTGGTATGGGTCCACATAAAAATAAAAAGTAAGTCAAAAAAATTCTATTTGATTGAATTAATTTGACTTGATGAATTTATTCATGTGATTTTTTTTTTTTTTTCCAATATAGACCTTACGTCAGATCTAAAGGAAGAAAATTCGAAAAGGCTCGTGGTCGTAGAGCTTCTCGTGGGTTCAAGGTGTAAATTGACATGTTTCATAATAAAATTAAAATGGTTTATGATCCATATTAAAAAAAAAAATGAATGATTAATAATCACATGTCAATTCATATCACATGATTTAATTATTTATACCCGCATAACATTTAGTGGAGATTATATTACTAATAAATATTATACCTTTTCTTTTTTTAATGTTAATTGTGTTCTACCAATATGTATGAAACTTTTATTGGAGAGAAAAGAATTGATTTATCCAAAATCCAATGAGATATATATAATGATATTTAAAGCTATAAATTGTTCTACGAATGAAAAAATACAAATATTTCAAATCCAATTAGCCTGCGAAAACGATTAATTGACCGTTAAAAGTTACGACTCGTGAAGATGTTGTGAAAATTTAATACAAATTTCTTTAATCTAATGACAATTCGTAGCATTTTTATTTTACGTGTTATGAGACGCAGCATCTGAATGCGAGTTTTTTTTTTAAAAAAAAGTGTAGTTACAATTATTAAAGAAAAAGATTTTAAATTGTATGGTGCGTTGTTCAAGTAAAATTCTTTATATATTTTTAATAAGATAATTTCAAATCGACATTTTTAAATAGAATTTGATTTATTTCAAAAAATACATTAAAGAAAAACTTTATGATTCATGTTTTTGCATTTTGGATCGAAAATATCTGATTTCCATAATATCTAAAGAAAAAAAAAATTTTGGGGAGAAGGAATTAGATACGAGATCCAAGTAAGAACGTCATTATGCAATCGCTAATAGTCTCGTGTAAGGGCAGTAGAATGGAATTCATTCGCTAATGCAGGGGAAAAAATTTTTTTCGCACTGGGAAGATATGTATATTCCGGGGAATGAGAGAGGAGAACTTTGTCGATAAATGACAGGGAAAACCACCTTAATGATTTCGCTTTTGTTATGTATTATATGTCGCAAAATTAAAAAATTTCAGCGCGTGAGGATACTTCTTTAAGGATAATATAACGCATCACTGTTTCTTTATTTATTTTACATAAGATTAATTAATAATTACGAATATTTAACCATAGCCCAATAGACCAAATTTAAAAAGCGAACCTGAAATACAATTCTGCAAAATGACATTATTAACTAATTTAAAATATAATTTAACCTTAAGCATGGTTTGCCGTTAAAGTCACGCTAATCTTACAAAGGTTGACACCATTGGTGTTGGGCGCCTATTTGCCTGTTTTCAACATAACTTACTAGTTAAATGTTCTTACCGCCAAACTCTTGGTAAATTGAATTATTTGGATATTTGATTAACGGCAGGTAATCATAAATCCAGTTAGTCTACTTTCGTCTTCAGCATCTAAAATTTTTTAAGGTTTACCCGGTTCATGTATGTAAGCCATTTGATCCGAAACATCATTACCGACAAGGGCATATTGCACCTTATCGCCGGGACGATTATCCCACACTCCAATTTTGCCTGTACCCATTTGCTCCATTTGTAGTTGTCTCCAATTGACACCTCAAACATTTGAGATGCAAAATGTTGTTTTGTAGGCTCCCCATAACCTACGGCATATGCTTCAAACGTACTCCATCCCTTTCTTCCAAGCGTTCTTTAACATAATACGGTAATATTGTATGTGGGGCACCTGTATCGACCACGCGCGAATACATTTTGTTGGTCAATAAAATCATATGGAAGAAGAGCGAGTAAAATTTCATTGGGTCTTCTGACGCGATCTCTGACCTTTATTTCAAAAACCTATTTAATTAACTTGAAGTTTACATGAATGTATACTAAATTTCATAATAAAATAAAATTATTCTCTAAAATTATAAGTCAAGCACTAATTCAAACCTTGTAATCATTACCATTATTGGTACGATGAACTGTACACCATCTTTATCGGTGGACCACGTGGCAAACGTGTCTGATCAACAGGGATTTGAACAGCACTTGGCATAGCGTCGAGAACGGAGGTCAATTTATCATCATCATACCTTTGCCCGTATTCTAATACCTTCTGTTCGTATACCGTCACCCACTCGTTTTCATGTCCAATAAATTCACCTCTGTCAAATGCGTCGTAAAAGAATATTTTGTTAAACCCAACCTCAGGTCCATCTTCAGAGATGTCACGGAAGGCACTATCTCTGAGGTAATCTGGCATCGAAGAGGGCCACCTGAAGTACTTGTTGATTCGAGCTATAAATTGATTATATCAAGACATTACATGTTTTGGCACTATGCTATTTAAGAACATAAAAGAAAACTATCTCACAAAAAAAGCTTTGCGCTTGACCAGGTCTTTTCTCATACTTTAAGAGAGTTTGAATCATTTCGGGCCGATTAGCTTGAACTCTTTGAATTACTTTATATAAAGTATAAAGTCTAATAAAACGTTGATCGATATTAGTATAATTGATATACGTATATATTATATTTATTCGTAAACATATTATACCCAACAAACGGGAACCAAATGGGTAAAAGCGCACAAATTATAAAAAGTATAGGAAGGAACAAAAAAGGAAATACAAAAGGAAACAAGATAACAAAGCAAAATTTTGTAGTTTTTTTCGTGACAGGAACGTTATCTTGATTCATTGTTGGAGCTTTGAGGAACTAGCAACTTTAGACATGATTTTTGGTTAAAAAGGATAATAGGGTTGAATTGAATTGGGAAAAAATTTTTTTTTTTTTTTAATGAGAAATCGATTTGTCGTGGTTTTTATGTCAAATGATTCTGTAATTGCAGTTTTATATTTTACTATTTCTACCAATGATCAATATTCGTTATATTGTGTCTTATCGTCATTGTTGCATAATTATAGAAATTATAATGTAGATCTTTTGAAAGATACCGTAAATATTGTAATTCAATAAATTTTTGTTTCTAAAACAAGTTGGCGTTTTAATTCGGTGAAAATAATTCAATTATATAATTAAAAGTCTACAAAATTTTTTAATTATTTATAAAAAAATTATATATATATATATTATTAAATATTTTTTTTGCATGTAATAGTATTTACCGCAAAATCAGAGATATCGCCGTGGTCCCTGTAATATCGGCGATTGAGCAAATAACTAACGCCCTTGATAAAAAAGGGAAATTGGTTGATCACGAATTTTGACAATTTTTTCGTAAATACTATTACATGCAAAAAAATATTTAAAAAATTTTTTGTAGACTTTTTAATTTAATTATATAATTGAATTATTTTCACTTAGCGTTAGGAACAAAAATTTAATTATTTAATAATAACAGTATATACTGTACAGTATCTTTCTATAATTATGCAACAATGACGATAAGACACAATATAACGAATATTGATCATTGGTAGAATAGTAAAATATAAAGCTGCAATTACAGAATCATTTGACATAAAAACCACGACAAATCGATTTCTCATATATTAAAAAAAAAAAAAAATTTTTTTCCCAATTCAATTCAACCCTATTATCCTTTTTAACCAAAAATCATGTCTAAAATTGCTAGTTCTTCAAAGCTTCCAACAATGAATCAAGATAACGTTCCTGTCACGAAAAAAACTACAAAATTTTGCTTAGTTATCTTGTTTCCTTTGTATTTCCTTTCTTGTTCCTTCCTTTACTTTTTATAATTTGTGCGCTCTTACCCATTTGATTCCCGTTTGTTGGGTATAATTTTTTTACGAATAAATATAATATATACATATATCAATTATACTAATATCGATCAACGTTTTTATTAGACTTTATACTTTATATAAAGTAATTCAAAGAGTTCAAGCTAATCAGCCCGAAACGATTCAAACTCTCTTAAAGTATGAGAAAAGACCTGGTCAAACGCAAAGGTTTTTTGATAAGAGATAGTTTTCTTTTATATTTTTAAATAGTTAGTGACAATACATGTGATGTCTTGATGTAATCTATTTATTAGCTCGAATTAACAAGGACTTCAGGTGACCCTCTTCGATGCCAGATTACTTCAGAGATAGTGCCTTCTATGATATCGCTAAAGATGGACTTGACTTCGATACTGAGGTTGGGTTTAACAAAATATTCTTTTACGACGCACTTGACAGAGGTTATTGGACATGAAAACGAGTGGATGACGGTATACGAACAGAAGGTATTAGAATGCGAGCAGAGGTATGATGAACTGTTTTCTTTTAGATAATAAAACAGTCTATGTAAAAATCACTTCACTAAGTGTTACTGCGCTTTATTAATAAAAAAAATCACTCTGATTAGTCAGATACAGTCAATTGTATAACAACTCGAACAACCTAAAAATTACGTAACATTAATTCACCTTTTTTATTAAATACCTGAGAATTCGTCAGAGAATCAAAAATCTAATTAGTAAATAATAAAACTGTATTAATTATTTTTTCTTCGCGTACTGTAAATTTTTTTTGCTATGCTTATTAATTTTTTCATAATATAAGCTACTGAATCAGAGTTTATCAAGAGTCTATTTACTATTAGTCACGATGTATTCAGAAAAGTATATACAGTCAACCCTCTCTAAATGCATCCCCTCAGGACCATAATAAAAATTTTAAAAAATATGCATTTAAAGAGGGTGTGCATTTAAAGAGTAAATTTTTATATGAATTCTATATGCTTGAGACTGAACGAGAACATGCATTTAGAGAAAAAATATATAGTGTGTGCATTTAAAGAGGATGTATTTAGAGAGGGTTAACTATATATACCCTTTAGTTTCTCAAACCTCTTTTTTTAAAACTTTCTCTAAAATATTTTATTATATTTTATTATTACAGACATATAATCAAAATGGTCAAAGTTGTTGACTCTTATAATTAATTATGTCTAAATAATAAACACATTTTCTAGGTTGAAGTTTATGAAGACAAGGACAGGCAGAAATTTTCAAATTTGGTAATAAAAAAATTCTATTTGTGAACTTAAAAGTTGGACAACTCGCGAAGTTTATCTCTATACAAGAAAAGTTTAAAGTTTTGAAGCTTTGAAAAGTTAACATTGATAAGAATAAGCTTAATTCTGGTTCTACTGATGATGACATTAAAGAACTTAGAGGCGTGTCTATAGAATTTAAACACAAATTTGAAAGATATTTTAAAGCTGATTGCGAACTTATAGATAACATCCATATCATTACTGTTATTACAACTACAATCACTGGTAAGTGTCTTCTAATGTTTTACCTCTCAAACAAGAAATTTGCAGTAACAAAATATTGAGTTTGATCTTTATAGTTAATTTATTAACAAGAAAGCTAACATCTGCTAAAATCAAAAACATACTTGACAAATATGTTAATAATGGTAAAAACTCTTTCAGATCACTCTTCAACTCTGAAAATATCTCTAATAATACAGTAGATATATCAACATATTTGAAATTTGTGAGTCGTAAAAATGCAATAATGCAGCTAATGAAAAATATGAACAAATTACATTAACTTATAACAAATTCAGAAGAATATGCAGAACTTTTGAAAAATTTATATTTTGCTGCTGCTGTAGGAATAGCTAGGAAAGGCAAAATAACGTTTGCTCAATGTGCTTATGAAAATGAAAATAAATATTATGGAGTAGTGAGACTTGAAATTGCAGTTGCAGTAAAAAATTGTATTTATGCAGGTCAGGCTTTTTGCATAGAATATGATAGTTTCACTATAGATGAGTTTAAAGAGGAACCTGAAGTTATATTTGAATTAAGATTACTTTATAAGACAATGAAATATAAGCTTAAAAAGTAAGACCTTGCATATTGATCATAATAATTACTTTAATTATACTGATTTGATCACTTCTCATCCTTACAGAACTGAAATTTCAACTTATGAGAATTTTCATAAAAAATTTAAGGAATATTTTATTGCTCTTAACGAAATTCTTGATGTTATTTTTTCTTACTTTTCAAATATAGATAACAACTTGAATCTACCTCTTATGATCATCAATATTGATGAAACAAATTCAATATTTGAACAAAATAGAGACATATTTTTTAAAGAAGTTGTCAAATCACTCTCAGATATGATTTTTTGACATTACTTTATCTTTTCTGTTCTAACCAAAACTCACATAAGCAATCTATTTAGTACTATTAAATCAACAAAATGTCAAATTTGAAAAAATTTATTTATCTTTACTAAAGACTAGAGTTCTGAATGAGTCGAATCAAGTCGAGTTTAAAGACCAACTCTATTCAACTCGTTTTTTTTGAGTTGAGTTGAATCAAATTTATTTTATAAAATCTTTCAATTTGATTTGATTCGAATTATATAAATTTTAAATTCGACTCAATTTGACTCGACTCGATTTTAACTTGAATTTATTCAAATTGAGTCAAGTCAAATCAAGTTATGAATCAATTTTAAATTTTTATAAACATTTAATTAATAAAAATAAAATAAAAAAATAATAAAAAAAATGAAAAGATCAGGGGGGAGCGAACGGTTCGTCATCATTCTTCTTGAATGATTTTTTTTATTGTTCAAGTTGAACGATTTGTTATCATCGTTCAAGTTGAACAATTTATTATTATTCTTCTTGAACGATTTTTTTATCATTCAAGTTGAACGATTCGTCATCATTCTTCTTGAATGATTTTTTTTATCATTCAAGTTGAACGATTTGTTATCGTTCTTCTTGAATGATTTTTTTATCGTTCAAGTTGAACGATTCATTATCGTTCTTCTTGAATGAATTTTTTATCGTTCAAGTTGAACGATTCATCATCGTTCTTCAAGTTGAATGATTTGTTATCATTCTTCTTGAACAATTTTTTTATTGTTTAAGTTAAACGATTCATCATTGTTCTTCTTGAACGATTTTTTTATTGTTCAAGTTGAACAATTTGTTATCATTCTTCTTGAACGATTTTTTTATTGTTCAAGTTGAATGATTTGTTATCGTTCTTCTTGAACAATTTTTTTATTGTTCAAGTTGAACGATTTGTTATCGTTCTTCTTAAATGATTTTTTTATCGTTCTTCTTGAACGATTTGTTATCGTACAAGTTGAATTATTTGTTATCATTCTTCTTGAATGATTTTTTTATCGTTCAAGTTGAACGATTTGTTATTGTTCTTCTTGAACGATTTTTTTATCGTTCAAGTTGAACGATTCGTCATCGTTCTTGAATGATTTTTTTATCATTCAAGTTGAACGATTCGTCATCGTTCTTCTTGAATGATTTTTTTATCGTTCAAGTTGAACGATTTGTTATCATTTTTCTTAAACAATTTTTTTATCATTTAAGTTGAACGATTCATTATCGTTCTTCTTGAACGATTTTTTTTATCGTTCAAGTCAACTTGAGTCAACTTGAATCAAGTTAAGTTTAAATTGAGTTGAGTTAAATATTTAACTCGATTTGAATTTGGCTTGACTCACAAATCATTGAGTCAAAAAAACATAAACTCAACTTGATTTAAACTCGACTCAGCTTATTTGACTTATGAGTTAACTTGACTCGTCCAGAACTCTACTAAAGACTAATCATACTAAGAAAGTTATCTTGAATTAGCAAATCGTGAATAGGTAAGTTAAAGTTTTGGGTTTAATGCTAATAGTTTTTAAAAGTATATATAAACTAGTATATTTATAGTAGGGAAAATTTGGGGGTTCTGGGGTCAAAATCGAAAAAAGATATCCAGAAAGATCCCAATCATAGGCCAGAAGCTCTTCTAGCTA